GTTAATTGTTGTGATTTATAGCGTGTATCATTAAAGTTGTTCAGTTTAAAGTGATGAGAAACGTACTGACAGTGTAATTACTGTGTACTAAAAGTTTGTATCGAGAAAGAATAAACTGGTTTAATCAAGAAAGGACTTGTATCACTGAAGTTCCTCAGAAAGACGTTCTACCGGAAATAACAAACAAGCAGGTACATAACAAATTGGTGTCAGAAGTGGGGTGGAAGAGAAAAAAAAAGAATATGGAAACTAGAAGTGGAAAATCAAAATACAGCTTAGCAGATTTGATGGCAGCAATACAAGAACAGCAAAAGAAACAAGAATCAAGTATGGAACTCAAAATCAGTCCAAAGTCTACAGGGCTAGCTTTAGGACGAGAGTCCGTACTATATGAGAGAGCCTGCAAGAGTTGGCACAGGATTTGGAAAGTATGGCACACAAGGCCAACCCAACTGTGCCACCCGATGTCCTCAAGCTATTGCTGAGGGATAAGTTTGTAGATGCCTTGGACAGTCCACAACTGAAGATACAAGTAAAGCAAGCACACTCCTCTACTATGCAGGATGCAATGGCCAGAGCTCTTGAATTTGAATCCTACGTTAAGTCTAGCACAGTGGTACCAAGATTGGTACAGTCATCGGGATTCAAGGCCAGAAGAGGGCAGCTTTTTGATAAGTTTGAGGGACTTTGCTGGCACTGTAATAAACCTAGGCACAAGAGAGCTCAATGCTGGCAACTTAAACACAGGGAATATGCCACGGCAGAAAAGGCTGCTACCCAGAAAGGTTGTTGGAACTGTAGAGAGCAAGGACATATGAGGAGCCAGTGTAAGAAGAATACCACCAATAAGTCAGCCTTAAGGAAACCAGTAATGGTTCGTGTTGATGACACCTACCAACCCCAGTTGTGAAGTCCAAACATCTAAGTGTAAAATGCCAAGCACAAATATTGTTTACGTGACAGGAAAACAGGATGGCCAAAAGTACAACTTTGTCATAGATTCTGCATCTCAGCAAACCCTTGTGAGTATCAAGTTGCTAGATCACAAAGAAGGACCAGAAGTTATACAGAAACTCTGTGGTGTGACAGGACATTATGCAAGGTGGTGAGGACCAGTGTGGATAACTATTGAGCTCATGGGCATAAAGGACAGACATAAAGTATACTTGGCTGACATTGAAGACCAATGGATATTAGGGTTGGACTACTTACTATCGAGGAAGTTTGTAGTTAACTTCGATAAAATGACGTTTGGGAATAACAAAGGCGAAATTCCGGTAAGTGTTGCTGCATCTGTTGATTTGCGTGCCACAGCAATTAAGTCAACTACAATACCTTCTATGTCAGAGTAGATAATTTGGGGTAGAATAAAAGAACATCCCCAAGGAAGTCCGATGCTTGTGGAAGCAGTGGAAGACCCATACAGGCCAGCAGATGTGAATATTGGAAGGTCACTTGTGGCAGGTCATCAAGTAGTACCCATAACAGTGGCTATTTTCTCTAAATGTGAGCAGATACTTAAGGAAGGGGCATTGAGTGGTGTGTGCCAGGAGGTAGAGTTAGTCATTGTTAAGGCAAGAAATACAACCATAAAGAAAGGACATACTCTCCCAGGACATTTAACTGACCCATTTGTCATCATCACAGGATCTTCAGGTTAGAGAACTTTTGGCGAATTATGCAGACGTCTTTTCAAAAGCAGATCATGACCTCGGCTGCACAGACCTTGTGGAGCACAGAATAAACACAGGCAATCGCCGTCCAATAAAGATCCCTCCGAGGATAATAGCTCTGGCAAAGCAACAAGAGATGGAGAAGGTCATGGATGGCTTAATTAAGGGACGGATAGTCGAGAAAGCAGATAGTCCCTGGTCAGCATCCATCATGTTAGTCCAGAAGAAGGATGGGACCCAACATTGCTCTGTGAACTTCATGGCTTTTAACAGTATAATCTAAAAGAACCCATACCCACTGCCAAGAATTGATGATGCTCTTGATGCCCTAAGTGAAGCCAGGTGGTTTTCAACTCTGGACTTAAAGTTGGATTTCCATCAAGTGAAAATGGCTGAAGCAGATAAACCTAAGACTGCATGCTAAGGAGCTGATGATGGTGAAGTGGAACCAAGTATAGATATTAAAGCAGAAAAACCAAGATTTGAAGCCAATAATTGATTTTCTACAAGCAAGTGTTTTGCGCCCTTCTTGGGAGAAGGTTTCTAGCTTAAGCCCTCTGACAAAAAACTGTTAGGCACAATGGGACCAATTGAAGCTTGAAGATGGTATTCTTGTCCGGAGATTGGAAGCTGCAGCTGGGAAAGTGACGACCTGACAAACAGTTATACCGAGAAAGTTACGGGAAGCTGTGCTGCGTCAATTCCGTGATAGTTTAACAGGAGAACATCTTGGAGTTAAGAATACATTGAGTCACCTACAGCAGAGATTTTACTGGATAGGTATGAGGCAAGATGTGGAAGAATGGTGCAGGACCTGCAGTACATGTTATGCTAAAAGGGGGCCCAATCATTAGGGACGTGCTTCTATGGAAAGAGTAGTCGTTAACACTGCTAGTCCATTGCCCCAAACTCATGCTGGAAACAAGTACATTTGTGTGGTGATGGATTATGTCACCAAGTGGCTTGAAGCATATGCAATATCAAATCATGAAGCTGCAACTGTATTGCCAGAGACCATGGCCTTAACTAAATGTAGTCTTAGGCTTATCTGCTTCAGCCATTTTCACTTGATGGAAACCCCCAACCAGTCATTAATCACACTTTAATATGCTATTTAACTTAAACACACGCTATAATTCACAACAATTCACGTACTTTATTTACGGTCACTAGCGCTCGCTTGACTCA